AAAAAAGAATTATTTTATTTAACTTTATTTATCCATTTATTATTTATCTTAATTTGACCAGAGAGGGATAGAGTTAGAGAAAAAGTTGAGAAAGCAAGCTGCCTGGTCCAGGCAGACCGACTCAAACTGCAGTCAGCCATACGGGAGTCTAGCACTCTTAACCATAATGCCACCTGCTAGCCCCCTCTTGTCTTATTCTTAAGAATAACATGACAGCTAAGAATCACCAAACATTTGAGAAATGCCTACACATGATGAATGATAAACGGAAAAACAGATCCCAGAGGAAACAATTATAATTTAAGAGGAGTCAACAACTCTACGAAGTTAATTATTATTATTATCTCTATCTAACAACAATGCTATTAAAAGTAAGAAGCAGAAAGTGGGAAGGAATTACTGGAAATGAAATATTCAACAAAATATTTTAAGATAAATTAGAAATCTCCCAAAACCCGGAGCAAGAAAGCATAAATATGTAAAATATGAGAATATAAAACACACACAGGATCATTCCAGAGGGGGTCCACCAACAGACTAGTAGGAATTCCAGAAAGAGCAGAGAGAGAGGAGAAAGTAAGCAAAGAAATAATACAATGGAAACTTTCAGAACTAAAGAAGTGAGCTTTCAATTAAAATGGGCCTCCAGAGGGCTTATTAGGGGAAATGGAAACAGCTATGCATCATTTGCAAGTTTCAGAACAAGTTGTATAGGTAGTTCCCTAAAAGCTTCCCAAGGGGACCAGCAGTTGGCATAATGGTTACGTCACTGGACTCCCATGTGGTCGACTGCGGTTCAAGTCCTGGACCCAGTGGCTCACACTCAAACACTGGGTGCGTGTGCATGTCCGAGAGGAGAATGGAGGAGAAGGGATTGCAGCATGGCCATCCCCCTTAGGGGGTGATTTCTCACTTTCTGTCTGTCTCTGTGGCGAGCGCATGCACCCTACAGCAAAAACCTCTCAAAAAACAAAACACAAAAGCTTCCCAAGGGTGAGGTGAATACAAACTTCTACAAGAATCATACTGGCATTAGATTTCTCATCAGCTATACTAGAAACAGTGGAATAATAGCTTTAAAGTTTAGAGGGAAAATGATTTTCAACTTGTGATATCTATGCCCACATTAATTGTGATGATAAAATAAAGACATTGTTAGACATGAAAGTACCCAGAAAGTTCATACACATTTTTTTTTTGTAGAGGTTTTTGCTATAGGGCACGTGCGCTCGCCAGACAGAGAGAGAGAGACAGAGAGATAGAAAGTGAGAAATCACCCCCCAGGGGGGATGGCCACGCTGCAATCCCTTCTCCTCCATTCTCCTCTTGGGATCTTGGGCACGCACGCACATGCACCCGGCGTGAGCTTAAGCCACCGGGTCCAGGACGCGAACCGTGGTCGACTACATGGGAGCCCAGTGACATAGCCATTACACTAACTGCTGGTCCCGAAAGTTCATGCACATTTTCTTAAGGAGTTATTTGAGCATGGATTCCATCAGTAAAAGAAGAGAGTAACACACAAAATAAGTCATGGAATTCAGGATGAAGCAGGAGTAACCCAGAATGTCAGCTGTGTGCATGTCTTAGCCACCAGTTTATATTTAAGAATGGGGGCTCCAGGAAAGAAAATAATTTCATAGGACATGGATTTGGGAGAACTTAAAGGCAAAAATTGAATGAAAATTAGAAAGATATCTAGAAATGATCTTTAAAAGACTTAAAATCATACACAACTATGAATCAAGGTAAAAGACATTAATAGGCATTAAACATATATAATTCCAATAAAAAAATAGAGTGGATAAGATGGGACAGGGCCAGAAGCCCTGTGATTCCACATAGCTGCAGCCAACTGTACTGTTTGAGTTCTGGTTGCAGGTACCTATGTGCCCAAGATCCTGAAAAAAGAATAGAGGAGAAGTGATTGTGCCATTGCCATCCCCTTGGAGGGTGATTTCTTTCTTTCTCTGTCTCTCTGGGTCTCTCTCTGGTAAGTGCATGCTCCCAATAAGAAAAAAAAAGACATGCTTTGGAAGACAATTATAGTTGCAGGACAGATGATAAGTGTTAAGAGTCATTGAAATCTTAGTGTTAGAGTATAGCTTGAAAAATTTTGGAGGTAGAAGTATAGATGGGGAGTCAAAGAGAAACAGGAGCCCAGATATCCTCCTCTCACAGAATGAAAGTCAAGAGATGCTATCTGTATTTAATAGAACTAAAAACAGAAGTTTAAGGCTATTTGAGGCTATTAAGCGAGCAATAGCCTTAAGACTATTAGAAAGCAATAGGATTCAAAATAGTGATGTAACAATTTTGTGTTTATTGTGTACTAAAGGGGGTGAATTAAGCTGAATTTTATATGCCATTGCAAGAGTCAATAAAGTAATAAAAAAGCAGCTTAATTTTATTAGGTCACCGGGAAAGTCATGATGTATTTTTTTCTATGCAAAAATGACTTTCTATGACTCTCCCGATGACCCAATATTTATACAGTTGAAGATCACCAGCAGAATTTAAAGGTTAGAGTATTTGTCTTTAGAAAGCAGGATTGAGGCTGGAGAAGTAAAAAGCAAGGACTGGGTCAGCCAGTGGCATGGTAGTTACAGTGGAAATTCCATGTGACCAGCTGTGTGGTTCAAGTCTCAGGCCCAGCAGCTTAAAAAATATGCTAGGCAAGTATAGATGGGGAGTCCAAGAGAAACAGAAACCCATGAAATTTTGGGCATGCACCAAATCTCAAGAGGAGAAATGGAAAAGGGATTGTGGTGTGGCTATCCCATATGGAGGGTGCTTTCTCATTCTGTCTCTGTCTCTCTCTGTCTCTTAAGAGTATACATTCTGTTTACCAAAACAAACCAAAAAAATAATTAAATAAATAGGGTATGGTGAGGAACAGTTGCTTTTTTTTTCTTTTTTTTGGAGAGGTTTTTCGCTATAGGGCGCGTGCACTCGCCAGATAGAGAGAGACAGAGACAGAAAGCAAGAAATCACCCCCCAGGGGGGATGGTCACGCCGCAATCCCTTCTCCTCTATTCTCCTCTTGGGATCTTGGGCACGCACGCACACGTGCCCGGCGTGAGTTTTAAGCCACCGGGTCCGGTACGCAAACCGCAGTCGACTACATGGGAGTCCAGTGACATAGCCATTATGCTAACTGCTGGTTCCCAGGAACAGCTGCTTTTTGTTGTAAATCTTTCCTTACTATTTTCTTTTCTTTTTTCACTTTGACAAAACAAAAATGAAACATAACAATGTTACTTTACAAGGTTTTGATGAGGATCAGAGATAATCTATTTTTAACTCTTGAAAATACAATTGGTGAGCCATTTTGTGGCTATTAACAGATTTTGCACCCTTCTCTACCCTTCTTTACCCTTCCTTGTGGATCCTGGATGTTTCAGACCCTGCAGCTGTCCTGTTCGTCTGTGGTTTCTCCCATCATTCCAGCTGTGATTGTCACTCAGTGTCCACCTCTTTTCAGAGTGCCACCTCCACTACCGGTGTGGGTGCTCCCATCCTGTTACTACTTCTGTGATCAGTTTCTCCATCTACTGCTGCCAAAACACACCAAGCAACAGTTTAGTATTATAAATGGACTGATGAAAGTTTAAAAGTTCAAACGTATGAACTTAAACTTGATAGCTCATAATTACATAATTACTCATAACTGAAAATATAGCTCATACAAGACCTTAGCTATTTCTGAGTTCACTGCAGAAACACTTAAAAATATTTTTCCTTAAAAATAAAGTAATATGTGCTTATTATAGAACATTTTAAAAATAAAGGGATTTATTGTGTTCTTCACCAACTTGAGATAAAAAAAAAGTCTCATTTGGTCAATATTAAAATTAAATAGTTTTAAGTTCCCATGTGGTAGCTAAAAAGGTCTTTCTTCCTGAGTCTTTTGGCCTGAAATAGCTCCAAAACCCCCAAGGATCCTTATGTCTCCTCTTCCTGATGGTTCATGCTGGCCAGAAATGTGGAAGTCATTCTAAGCTCCCTTTTCCTCTTCATTTTTCGGATCCGCTCAATACTAAGTCCTCTGAGAAATTAAGCACCTCGCCCAGGTCACATAGCATCCGGTGAGTGGGCTTTAGGAGCCAAAACCCTAGTGCTTAGGAGGCTGCAGAGAGTACATTGTTCCTAGGTAAGGTTTTGCTTATTGAGGTGGTGTGGATGGGGGATCAATGGAGAATATGGATACATAAAGCCTCTCCCAACTCTCTTCCAATTTTGTGAACCACTTCAAGAACCTTCTCTTGGCATCATTGGTATCATATAGCTATTATGTGGCAAAGGCAGGATTCATGTCCTCAAGTGAGTTTTGTTGTTGAATTCTTAAAATCTTTTTTTTTTTTCAAAATTTGAAAGAAATAATCAAAATTTGAAAGAATAGGGTAACACTCATATTATCACCAGAGTAAAAAGAAAACATTGTTTGTTATGCATATTTCATTTATTCGTTTTAAGCATATGAGATTTTAATAGAAAATGGTTGGAAAGAAAAAAATTCATGTAGTTTAATGTGTGTATATATGTTGTTGAACAATTTGAAAACATGTTTCAGAGGTACATTACACTTCAGAGCACATTTTTTTTTTTTTTGGAGAGATTTTCGCTATAGGGCGTGTGCGCTCGCCAGACAGACAGAGAGAGACATAGAGACAGAAAGTGAGAAATCACCCCCCAGGAGGCATGGTCACGCCACAATCCCTTCTCCTCCATTCTCCTCTCGGGATCTTGGGCACGCACACACACGGCGTGAGTTTTAAGCCACCGGGTCCGGGATGCAAACCGTGGTCGACTACGTGAGAGTCCAGCGACATAGCCATTACACTAACTGCTGGTTCCCTCAGAGCACATTTCTAAGAATAAGGACATTCTTCTTCAAAACCCACATTATTACTATTACATCTAAAAAAGTAGTTCCCTAAAATAATCTATTTCTAATCTATGTTCAAATTTCCACCGTTGCCTGCAAAATGTCTTTTATAGCTTCTCTTTTTTTTGGAGAGGTTTTTGCTATAGGGCGCGTGTGCTCACCAGAAAGACAGAGAGATAGAAAGTGAGAAATCACCCCCAAGGGGGGATGGCCATGCCGCAATCTTTTCTCCTCCATTTTCCGCTCGGGATCTTGGGTACGCACGCACATGCCCCCAGTGTGAGTTTAAGCCACCGGGTCCAGGACTCAAACAGCAGTCTACTTACATGGGATTCCAGCAACGTAACCATTACACCATCTGCTGGCCCCCCAATAGTTTCTCGTTTTTTATGATTCTGAATCCAGTCAAGATTAATGCAACACACTTTATGTCTTTCATTCTAGATCATCTCCCCCAATACCCTTTTATATTAAAAAAATCACTTGTTTAATTGACTGTGTCAATTGTCTTGTACATTCATGTGACTGCTCCCTGGTGGTGGTAACTTGTTCCTCTATTTCCTGTGTTCCTCTAACTTGGAAATTATGTCTGAAGAATTGCTTGGATTCAGTTTGAAGACCTGTGGAAAGAATACTCATGGGGATTTGTGTATTTATGTTGCATCACGTAAGGAGGCATGTTGTCCCATTATTAGTGGTGCAGGGTTTGAACACTGAAGATAGTAATTTTCCAATCTTTCCACTGTAGAGTGTATGCATTGAGAGACAATTCTCCATTACTTTCTAGCTTTTCTGCACAATTTGTGATTGAGCCACTGGCTGTCTTTTAAAAATATATTTTTCTTAGGACCAGCAGTTAGTGAAATGGCTACATCACTGGACTCCCACGTAGTTGACCGCGGTTTGTGTCCTGGACCCGGTGGCTTAAAACCCACACTGGGCGCGTGTGCGTGCGTGCCCAAGATCCTGAGAGGAGAATGGAGGAAAAGGGATTGTAGCGTGGTCATCCCCCCTGGGGGGTGATTTCTTGCTTTCTGTCTCTCTGTCTCTCTGTCTGTCTGGTGAGCACACGTGCCCTATGGCAAAAACCTCTACCCCCCCCCCAAAAAAAATATATATTTTTCTAATGTATCTTTTCAAGGATGTTTGGATAGCAAACAGCCTTGCAAGGAGAAGATAGCATTTCCTCCTGAAACAAAGTAATTTCAATTTTTTTTTACTACAACATAAAATTTACCATTTTTATGTGTAGAATTTAGTAGTTTCAGGTATGTTTACAGTTTTGTGCAGCCAGTCTCCTAATGGATGTGATGTGTTTTTGATTTACATTGTTCTAGTAATTAGCAATGTTAAATTTTTTTTTTTTGAGAGGTTTTTGCTATTGGGGCACAAAGGTCAAAGACCATTCTGACTTCT